TTGCATTGAAATAGGTAGCTCAACTTTTCTCAGCCTTGGCAACTTTTAAGATGTATGGACTTAAACACCCAGAATTCCCCAGCCAGGACCACTGACTCATGAGGCATATAGTGCAGCGTTTCTCAACTTTGGCTATATTAAGATGTATGGACTTCAACTCCCAGAATTCCCCAGCCAGTCTTGCTGGGGAATTCTATCATGTTTAGTTGTATTTTTAAAAAAAGAGAGTTTTAATATATAAAAATGCAAATGAAATCCATTTTTCAATATTATATAAATATTAACATATCAAATAAATTAACAATGAACATTATAAACATATTTTATAAAACTTTCATTTTAAAGTAAACATAAATATAAATATTCATTCTGTAACACAGTATTGGATACAACCTAAAGAGCACTATAAATACATTTATTGTACTATTGTATAAAAAGAGTATGCATTTCTTAAGAGGAAAATATCCTGCATTAAACTGCTTAGGAGAAAAGGCACAAAAGAAAAAAAAATCTAGAAAATAGCAACAGTATAAATAACAAAAAGAAAAATAAATAAAATAAAATCTATATTATGTTTAATTCAAAATATATAAAGGAGGTAAAGATTAAGAAAATAAATTATATTGTCTGTAAAACATTTTTCAATTTTATTAGGAATTTTTGATCATAAAGGATTGTATTGCCTGATTTTTTGAGTTAAAGTTCGTTTTTACAACTCTGTAGTGAATTTTAAAAATTTGAGCATATTCCTGAATGGGGCAATTCTTACGCTTATTGAATCATTATAGATTTGGGTCAAGCTTCACATTTTTCTTAGTAATTGAAGGTATTTATTTATTTATTTATTGGTTCGATTTATATGCCACCCTTTTCCGAAGTCTCAGAGCGGCTTACAATGCGTTAAGCAATAGCCTTCATACTTTTCTATATACCTGCTTAGTAGGGCTTTCACACACACACACACACCCAAGCGGTGTTCTTTTTTATACAAAGTCAGCTTATTGCCCCCACAAACCGGGTCCTCATTTTATCTACCTCGAAAGGATGGAAGGCTGAGTCAACCTTGAGCCTGGTGAGATTTGAACTTGCAGTAATTGCAGGCAGCTGGTGTTACTTAACAGTGCTTTAGTCTGCTGTGCCACCAAGGCTCTTAAGCTATAATTAGATCTTCATTGCCATCAGAATAGCAATCGGACTTAGACTTATATACCGCTTCCCAGTGCTTTACAGCCTTTTCTAAGCGGTTTACAGAGTCATCATTTTGCCCCCAATAAACTGGGTCCTCATTTTACCCACCTCGGAAGGATGGCAGGCTGAGTCAAACTTGAGCCTGGTGAGATTCGAACTGCCAAATTGCAGTCAGCAGAAGTAGCCTGCAGTACTGCATTCTAACCACTGCGCTACCTTGGCTTGAATAGCAGCATCAAAGGTTTCACTAAACCAAATACTTAATGAAATATTTTTGTTTTCATTTAAGGGTAATTAATGTGTTTTAGAAATGATTTCAAGTTGGTGGGTAAAGATTTTTGGATAAGTGTGAAATATTTGGATTAATGTACTAGAAAGTCAAATACTTGTCAGTAGGAAAAATTTTAAGGTCACATAAGCATTCATCGTACAGAATGAGAGATTGGGTCCAGGATTTGATTTCTGCTTGAAAAAGCATAGGCGTATCTTTTTGCATAACAATATTTCCAGTATATCTAAATTGATTTGCCCTCTTCCTGTGTCATAATGATTTTATCCTTGCAAAATATAGTGATTAGGGTTCTGCTGGTTATACAGGCGGGTACCAAACCTTTGTCCATACAGAAGAGGCCAGTTGCTGAGAAGAGAGAGATGATCATGAAGAAAACGCCAGTGGCCACTATTAAGACAGAAGCAAACGCTCAGACAGTTGGTAAAGAGCCAACCCCAGAGAGCAGCACACCATCCTGGGCCAGCGATCATAATTATAATGCAGTAAAGCCCGAACAGACTCCTGCCATTTCACCAGCACTGTTATTCAAATGTATGTATTTTCCAGGGATATTCTTCTGCAGTCGTTTATTCTTCCTATCAATACATTTTCCATTTTGGGGCCGGCAAAAAAAACAAAAAAAAGGGGATTTTAATGGCTCCCTTGCTCTATCTTCAAAGATTGACACACATATTTCTCAGGGGGGGGAAATCCAAGGTTCATGCATAGTGTTATTAACAACTCGGACGTTCTTGTTTAATTGTATATGATTGGAATTTAATCTGCAAAGGTAGGCATAATTTTCTTTATGTGCTCCATAGAGGGTAGCTATAGTCTTAACAGAAGGTAGGTAAAATCATTTATAATAATAATATGTAATGTATGGCGTAATTGTATCTACTGTTAAGATTGGCCCCTTGTTATTCCTTTGCATTTTGACTTAGAAATATCAGAATTTGTAAGCTTTTAAGGGATTTTGAACCATTAATTTACCTCTTTACACAAACACACCTTTTTATCAGTTTTGAGGAGAAAACTCCTACCAAGAAAATGAATCTCCTGATGTGATTCCAGAAGCCCTGCATAAAATCCAGATGCTTCCTTTGGTTTTTTTTTTCTTTTTTCTTTTTTCTTTTTTTAAAATAGAAAAGCTGTGTGCTATATAAGCTCTTTTCAAAACAGGAAAGCAGACTGAGAATTCTCAGCTTGTACATGATAAGTATACAGAATATCTTTAACATCTTGGTAACTTATGAAGGTAAGTAAATGGATGCTTGATAATGTAAAATCATTCTTTAAGGAACTTTTTTACCCTTCTGTTTAAATATGTTACAGTCTGCAGTCTGGATTTCACATTTTTTCATTTCTGATGTATTGTTCGAGTCAGTATGAAGCTTGAGAGGGTTCCGGGCATGCAAAAGAATTGACTTCATTTTTTCCCATTAACCTCTGATGGCTGAGTTTGGCTACATCTTTATAACCATTAGAAGATGACTTTGATGAACACGCTGGAGGAGTGGAGCTCCCAGGCTTGAGGAGAAATTATCCAGAACATCTTCCTGCTCCCCTTCACATGAAGGGTGTAGCCTCCATGTTTACAGTTCTTGCTTGACAATCATATATGGAAGAAATATTATGTTTCTAAGGCTTGTGAATCTTGAAGCCTTCTTTTAAACTCTTTATAGGAGTGTTGTAGAATCGTAGGGTTGGAAGGGACCTTGGAGGTCTTCCAGTCCAACCCCAAATAGTTTTTCTTCAGTCTTTTCATTAATTCAGATGACCAGTTGAACATTTCCAAAAGGAATTGGTCACTTCTGTACGCATATTAGTAAATTTGTTAACATCAGCAGCCTGAAAGTAGCACTTGATTTTCAGCATACGTGGGTTTCCTTCCTGCTACACTCAGAACTGTTTACTCGCGGGGCAGTTCAGGTACTAACAATTTAATTGTTCATATAAGTGTTCTTGTAAGTAGAATAATAACAACATTGGAGTCTTTTTCTAAAAAGATTATACGTTAAAAGGAGATCTATAGTTTGATCATGTTTTTACAATTGCTGATGGACACAAATGAATGCATTCACTTCAGTTTATGTTTAGTGAAGAACTTTCATCATCTTAAGAAGACTTTTTGGCTTGACTTTGAAGGTAAGTTAATTGCTGTCTCGAAGTTCTTTATGTCCCTTCCAGATACCAACTATAAATTCATATGTTAAATCAACTCCATTATCTTGCGGTGATTGAGGTTATCCAGGAAAGAGTTACTCTTGGTGTAGGAGAGTTATGCAATATTTGTAGATAGAAACTAATGATTAATATATGTAGGGTGAGTACAGTAAGAATTAACTATATACAGAAGTTAGGTGATCGTCATCTAATGAAGTAAGATTGGATCTCCTAAGCACACACAGCAGTCTTTGTATTTATATGCTTTTCAGCTTTTGAAAGAGACATCAATATTGTAGAAAAAGGTGTGTTCTGCAGCATTTGATGTTAAGGCTGTGTCACCATACTTGAATAACAATTTCTTGGCTCCAGTTGCTTTTGTATCTGTTTACTGTTCACAAACGTCTAAAATAACTTAAAATGTGTGTCGTCTGCTTGGTTCCTAAGCTGTCCCCAGATTGTTGGGAAGATCTCCACTGTAACATCTGGATTTCAGGGTTGTTCTTTTGTTTTTGTTTTTACTTTGAGAGAGTGGAAAAGACTTACCAGTATCTTTAATCATAATTATATGCTAGGTCTTAGAAATTTATTATCTAGCTGATCTAAATCTCAGGCAACCTAGCGTTTAATTCTAAAAAAAATACACACCGTTTGATGGTTTGAGATTTTTGGTCAGTGGTTCCAAGAAAACACCTAGTGCTTACATAAAGGGACATACAATGCTTTTGAGAGGAAAAGCAATATTTTTTCCCCCTAGTAGATGAAGGAAAGTCAATAATGCTCTTGGAAGGGAAGGCAGAATAGTTTGAGCACAATAGCGTATCAATACATTATTAGGCCTGGAACACTAAATTCTATCTTAAATTTAGCTTGAAAGGATTTCCTAATAAGTCATTCAGAAAGTTATGAAATTAAATAACATTGATGATTTGAGGTTTAATTTAGCCAGAGAGTATCTCATATCCTTTACAATGATACAAGAGGCAGTGAATCCTTCACTTAAATTGGACCTTGAATGTAAGTTCCTTAATTCTTAAAACCAACTGCCAAGCTATTCCACAGTTCTGGAATTTATATCAAACAAATGAATATGTAGATTAGATGAGGGAGTGAAATTTCAAAATACTAGCACACCTGCACTATAAAAGCAAAGCCAATGAGTCACAACTTGTTCCTGCTGTTATGGTATCTGGTTTATTTTGTATTAGTATTTCAGGTGCTGCGTTTTATTCTTCATTAGTGGATGAAATAGGATGTTGTTTCATTTATTGTACCATTCCGAAGGTGCATTGCTTCTTAAGCCTTTGACATGGCCTTGGGATAAATGTTGTCACAAAAATAGTGGTTTTGAGAATCCAAATAATAGACAAAATCATAACAAGATAATAAGCTTTAATTGGAATATATCCCAAGGATGAGGCTTGTGCACCCACTAGGGAGAAAAGGAGAAATGTCCTACATTCTGCTGTTCTCGTTACTTTGATTCTGGCTGTCTAGAATCAGAGCATTTAATCTCATTTCACATCTCTTTTTCTCAGCGGAATGCCGGGGGGGGGGACGGAATCAGTAGTATGATTAGAATCAGGAATCAGTAGCCGCCTAGAGTAAAAAAAAAAAAGTCAGATGGGCAGGTATGTAAAGGAAAGAAAAGATTGCAGTGAATGCTTTTAAAATTTTTTAAAGCTGTTGGTTTTTTTTTATAAAAAAAAACTAAAGAGGTTATGAGCAGCCAGATAAATCAAAATAAAAATAGATATGTAATTAAGAGTGGGAAATAAACCCTACACAGGGGGGGGGGGGAGATAAATACAAAATTATTTTAAACAAAAGCATCAATTTATTGTACTGTTGTCTTCATTGGAGAAACAAGCAGTAAAAATTATCCTTATTCACTACATTGCATATGTGTGTGTGCATATGTGTATACACATGAATGAATACACACACACACACACACACACACGAAAAGGTCTTGTGCACTGGAGTTAGTCTACCAGGTGTGCTTTTCCAAAAAATCTAAGGAGGTAAACAGTACTTTGGTCTCTGTTATGGTTAGCATATCAAATTGGAGGGTTTATAAGATAGCAACAGCACTTACACTTATATACCGCTTCACAGTGCTTTACAGCCCCCTCTAAGCGGTTTACAGAGTCAGCACAGTTCCCCCAACAATCTGGTTACTCATTTTACCGACTTTGGAAGGCTGAATCAACCTTGAGTTGGTCAGAATTGAACTCCTGGCAATGGGCAGAGTCAGCCTGCAATACAGCATTCTATCCGCTGCACCACCAGGGCTGTAGCATATTATAAATGGAGAGGGGATAGGATAGTAAGGATAATATTTAGGATAATAAGATATTATTCCCTGACATAAAATACTTTAGGAACTGAATGTGCCTTACATAAGGGCATGCTTACAATTGCTCTGAGTTACGTAGCATTTAGGGTCAAACATAATAAAGGTTGTCCTCGACTTACAACAGTTCATTTAGTGACTGTTCAAAGTTACAATGGCACTGCAAAAAGCGACTTATGACCATTTTGCACAGTTACAACTTTTGTAGCATCCCCATCATCATGGGATCAAAATTCAGATGCTTGGCAACTGGTTCATACTTGCGACTGTTGCTGCGTCCGACGGTCACATGATAACCTTTCGCAACCTTTTGACAAGGTCAACGGGGAAGCTGGATGCATTTAACAACTGGGTTACTAACTTATCGACTCCAGTGATTCACTTAACTGTGGCAAGAAATGTCGTAAAATGGGGAAAAACTCACTTAACAAACATCTCAATAACAGAAATTTGGGGCTCAACTGTGATCATAAATTGAGGACTACCTGTAATCTGCTTTGTGCACCAAAACCTAAGAACAACTTCATTTTTGTTTCTGAAAATAGTTTAGAAATAGTTGAGTTGACTTCGTTAATTTGTACTAGAAAATCAGTGATGGCATCAGAATGCTATTATACATTTACCTTTATAATTGGAATTTACAGTGACTAATCGGGAGGAAAGTTCTCAAGGTTTAGCTTGAATATTCAGACGTAGAAAAAACAGTCCTACATCTAACAGTAATGAGGCACCTTGGAACAACTGTGTTCAAGGACAGCAAATCAGTCTTTTCCAGAGACATCAAATTTCTCACTTGAAATTTGTAAGCCAGTATTGCGGGAGAGTTTTTAATCTGACTTTACAGCTTAATTCTTAAAGAGTTCTGTGACTTGGAGCACTACAGGCAGAATGCAAAGTTTCAGGCAAAGATTAATACTAAATTTCTAAAAACAGTATTTTATGGAATTAAAAGAAAATCAGGGTTAAAATCTAAACGAGGGCACTTGGGAGCAAAGGGAATGGATGCATGAGTTGTTCCATTAATTTTTTCAGGAATGTTCAGATTATTTGAGGCTGCTTTGTATTGCCCTTTCCAGCCTTTTCATAGCCAAATGCTGAATGTTATTTACTCTATATAATATGTTCTGTTTTTATCATTTTCTTAAGCTGGCTGAATAAGTCATTAGAAATCTTTCACCTCTTCCTTCCCTCCAAGTAAAAGGGGTTCTCCATGCTGGTGTATCGTATATCCAGTATTAGAGACCAGGAATCAGATCCAGACTGCTGTGGCGGCTTCTCTTGTGCCTGAAAGCAGCGAATGGGACCTGAAGAGGCCCTCCATGGAGCAACATCTTCAAGACCTACCTGAGAAGATTTAAGCGGTGGGCTGCACCAGATATTGGGGGGTGGAGTGTACCAGCTGCAGAATCACACACAAATCTGCACTGGGGGTGGGCGGGAAAAGAAAAGCGTATAGATCATTCTTACCCCACAGGCCAACAACTGAGATTTTGAATATTCCAGGAAGACATCCAGTCTTTTACCCCAGGCCACCTTCAGCCCAAGATGCACCAATTGAGTGTTTTGTAATTGGTGTGGTCTTGAATGATACGTTCGGTAAAAGTCATTGCAACCTCTTGCATTCTTCCAGTTGACTTGAAAACAGCTACCGCTGCTGTGGGAAACATGGACATACTGTATAAGCAATAGCTTATATCTAATTTGATAAGCAAAGTGCATCCACCTCTCTATAGCTCTTGGTTGGGGAAGAAGGCAGTGTCCCTTTCTTCTCTTTTAAAGGTGGGTGAAGTATAGAGAAGTTGATGCCTTTTGTTTTAGTAGCAATGCATTGATACCGAAACATAGAATCAAGCCTGAATGTATGTAATGGCAAACTTTTATTTCATTATTTAAGTATTTAATGTTGGTAGCCACCCAACTCAACCGAATAGTTCCATTTGTTCAAACTAGAGACAAAAACAACTGAAGCTGACCTGAATCAAGAATGAACATGAGTGGTGTGGAACTAGGCAAATGCTCCTACATACATATCTCTCTCGTTGTGCTTTTTATAAAAAGATCTGGGCATGAATCTGCTAATCACTTATCAAATATTGTGCCTGATAACTTGGGTTTCAAACGGGTGTTGCTTTCAAGTTGGACCAGGGCTGGTGAGAGGATACAGTCAAATGCTATCTTAAAAGGCACAACCATAGCAGTATCTTCCTCCAACCTCTGACATCTGCAGGTGTGGGTGACATCTGCAGGTGTGGGTAACATCTGCAGAAACTCAATGTTAGGCTTGCAAGAGATATTTAAGTCCTTTTCAAGCATGCTGATATAGGAATTGGGCTCTGCAGTATGATGTGCATCTTCTAATACAGTGCCCATGCAGGCGCAGTATGAAAAGCTGTGGTAAGTAAATTCGTAGAGTGTGTCCACTGTTTGTTTGTCTAAGATTGTTTTTCAGGTAAATAGAAGTGCATGGAACAGGCTTCCTTTTGTGAGTAAAATACCCCTTCGGCCAAAGTTCAAGCTGCTCATTTCTCAATTTGGGTGGGTTTTAAAGTCTCTTGGTCCCTCAGGGTTTATTCACTCCTCTAGAAATCTCTTTCATTCCATGTGTGTACAGATCATTAAAAAAAAACTGTGTTAAAATAGAACGGTACAATTTTATAATTCTATAACTTGTCAGTACATAAATAAAAAAAAATTGTGGGAAGTCAACTGTTAACCACATTTAATTAAACACATTCATGCTTTTAGAGGCCAGAACAAAAGAGGAAAATTTCAACTTCAAATCATGGCAGCATGGCAAAAGACCATTCGGCTCAGAACATCCACACTTGAAGGGGGCTCTGCGTCTGTCCGTTAGCTTAGCCGCCATTCCAGTATTTCTTTTCCCCAGAAGATAATGGTACAATCCAAAAACGATGGCTTGGCTCACTTTTGAGAGGAGGGTTGGAATTCAGAATTCTCAGCACTGTGAACTTGTAGCAGAATTGGAATAAGGCCTCTAGAGGTTTTAGTCTGCTGCATGTTTCTCCATATACTCCCAGCTTTACAGAATGGATACCTGGGGATTAAAAAAAAAAAATCACATGAGATTCCCGTGAACGAACTACTGTGGAAATCATTAGAACATTGCAGATTGTTATTGTTATTTATTAAATGTATTTGCCGCCCATCTCGCCACCAGAATATTGCAAATCATTTCAGATGGATAAATAGCATACATCATTTCCCAGAAATCAACCTAATAAGTCAATTGGTGTGCAAAATCTCAGTCAACCTTTGTAAAGCTGGCACTGAAAACCCTGAAAATAGATGGGAAGCAATCTCAAGTCCTCTTTCCAATATTGCCAAATCCCTTTGTTTGTGGTTTCTTTTCAGAAGTACTTTGGAAGGTTCGATGTTCTGATGTCATTGATCTTTCCCAGTGCAGTGTCTAGCCTACCACAACTGTTGGCCCTTGCCTCTCATTTCACCTTTACACTTTTGCTGGTTTTCAGTTTATGTACAAAATCCTTGTAACAAAGCAGTTCTGTGTGCTGGTCAATAAGATGTCACCAGGTCTGCTACTAATATATATTTTACTGAAGAGTAACAGCAGAATCCAAATAGGCCCAACTTGTATACAAACAGTTCCTATATAGTTTAGATTAATGGCAGTCATTATATCAGCAAGAACTTTCTCCCCCTCCCCCCTTTTGTTGCCATGATTCCATCTGAAACAAAAAAAAATTAAGGCTACACACACCCTACAGTAAATTGAAAGTTCCTTGCTGTGGCTTAGCTAATGTGTGAATTCAAGTAGGATGGTTTGTAAGGCATGGTTTTTGGCAATAGCGTGTGGCTTAACCACTCAAAAAGTAGCTATTTTGATTTCCTTTCTCAGAATAGTAGTGTCTGCTGCACTGATTTGGAAGTTTTTTTTTTTTTAATTGTTTCATATATATCATTCTAGGAATGTTCTGCGAGCAGAAGTTACCCATGTTCAAATGTAAATTTAAAGATGATTACAAGTCCATCTGAATCCGCAAAATGCTTAACTCTCCTGTCCCCATGTTGCTTCACCTTGGACTAGGTTAGGCGTTTTGATTTAATGCAAATATTTTGTAATGGGAAAGGGAAGGAACAAAATTAGCAATTTGTAGCAATAAGGACGTATTTAGCATGTCACTGAGGGATAAAATCTTAAGGTAACTCACTGAGGGAGTGGTACCCAGATTCTGCTCTTTGTACAAGAATCAAAAATATTTAATTTTAACATTCACTCAGCCTTAAAGGTATTTTAATGGTTTTTAAAGAAATTTATCTTCAGTGAATGGGGGGGGGCGCGATTTGGATAGGACATAGCTTAGATACAAAGGTTGCCTTTATACGTCTCAAAACGGGACATGATTTGTTACAATACCTTCAGATGTGTGTTGACTCGGGTTGTCACAGACCAATCACTAGCCATTTTATGCAGAGGTGGCAATTGTAACACTCACCCACAAACCAGGTCTGGCTTTAATCCATCTCCATCTTGTGGACTGTCTCCATGGATTGTGCACAGGTCTGCCTCCGCATGAGAGACCATGTTCCTCCTATGTCTTCAGCATGTAACTAAGAAGCCATGGCTTTCTGTCCATGGGATGAGATGAAACTTCTAGGAATCGGATTTGCCACTCCAGGAAAAGGGATCTCATGCAAGGAATCAAACCTAAGAATGAGCTGATGCGCTCTACCTTACTCTACCCACAAAAAATCTGCAAATCCAACTCATTGAGTCTGCTTATTAAGGAGGAAAGGAAGTTAAGAAGGAGAGGTGTATCCTCTTCAAATGTCAATACTGGATCTTCAGATACTTTCCAACCATTCAATGCTGTCAGGTTCAGCATAGCAACCATTCCCAGTTTACTTAATCACAGAATAGGATTGTTTTGCCCTGCTTTGCCACTTAAAACCAATTAGTTTAAATCAATCGGGGCCAGGCATCGAGAAGATGCTTTGAATCGGTGGCAGGCTATCTGCTGTCCCTCTTGGTTTTAAGCTCTACGGTGGTCACCTACCCTCTTTCTGTGGCTGGAATATCGCACAAGGTGATGTCACAAAATGAGAATTGTGAACGAATATCAGAAGTTCCAGAACTGAAGTGTCAGTTGAAGGCAACTTGATGATTATCTCTCCCCCACTCTCTCTCCCCCTCTCCTAAATCATTCTCAGCTTTGGGGGCACTTTCACGGTGTGTCAATTAGGACATGACAATTCTTGTGCTAATTATTCTGGCTGGAGAAAGAGCATATTTCTCTGTAAAGTGTGACAGGATGAATAAATCTCCCATCTGCCAAAGCTTAATTGAGCCCCAGAGTGATAACGTGATCCCCACGAAAGGGGTGGATACTTTCTGAAGTTGGAAAAACTTCATAGCGTGGGTTTTGTCAGGCTGTTCAGAGGGATGCAATTGCATGCTTGCAAAAGAATGGACTGGCAGCTGAAACGGGAACTCCACCCCACCTCCCAGCTTAAATAAGCAGTGTAGTTGATCTAATGGGATTTAAGAGGGCTGTTCGACTAAGCGAAGCCCAAGTAATGCCATGGACCTGATAATTGAAGTGATCCCCCCCAAAGAAAAAGCATGTTTAAAAGTACTGTATTTTTTGTTTTACACAGTTACCAAAATAAAAATAATTGAATTTAGCTCTATGCATAGGGATATTTGGCTACAGCACTTCTAAGTCTGCTGCTCAGCAGATCTGCTAAGGTGATCATGTTACAGGGAAATTTATTTAGAGAGGAGCTTGTACTGTGAGCAAGCTCTGTCGACTCCATTTTACTAGCCAGTCCGTACCAGATCCACAACTTCTCAGTGGAAAATGGCTTGCCTCGGAACTGACCATGATCACCTGTGTCCCACCCAAGGATAAATCACCTCTCTTGCATTTCGAACTTCAGAAACCTAAAGCCTTCATGTTGACCAGACCTCCCTCTTTATCCTTAACGTGCGTGAGATTTACCAACAATAAATGCCAGCAGCAAAACTGAAGCTTTCTTGGAGAAAAGCTCCCAAGAGCAAAGGCTCCAAGAACTAAATTTTGACTGGGGGAGGGCAAGTGGGGAGCCCAAATACTTAAGATTCTGGGTGGTATCATCTAGTAATGTAAAATCAGATTGTGGTGCTGCCATCACCTCTGGGAAAAAGTGGAGCCTTCCCCATAGATTTTGAAAGCGCTCTTTTTTTGTAAAAATTGAAACCCACCACACTTTCAAAGGGCAGGTTTCTGTTTCAGGATGTTAGCCAACAAACATTTAGGCCCCTTCGGCCTGTATATTTTAACTTTTATGATGTCAATTTACATTTGAAAGGACAAAGTAGTAATAGTGGCTTGGTGTGACTTGGGAGTTATTGTGGAATCACATTTCCTTTCTCTCCAACCCTCTGACTACCTGATTTTCATTTTTGTGCAGCTCCTGCTTCAATTCATCACAATTTTCCTATTACATAAATGCAGAAGTGTGATTGTGTTCCCTACAGCTAATGGTTCAAAATACACTACTCACGTTTTAAAAAGTTGGGATAGCGGTTTTAGTTTGCTTTGACTTTTCCCGAGAGAGCAGGAAAAGGAAAGGGTGAGCTTTTGGGAGTCTTACCTGGGCCTTCAGAGTTGTAACCATAGTTAGAAGGCGGGTAACATGGCAAACTGGTTAATCCGAAGCAGTAATAACAAAACTTCCAAACTCCCGGAGAAAGGGCATGAGAGTGCAGAAAGAGGCAAGGCTGTCGCAGTTCATTGATTCCTAATTGTCCCTGGCATTGACAAGCAGCGAGAGGAACACAGCTGCGGGTTTCCAGTTCATTCCTTTGCATTGTTCTTTTCCTGAATGTGCAAATCCTGGTCTTGGGTCAGCTGTGGCCTGCTTCCTGCAAGGAATGTCAGAAAAGCGGTCTGATTCTCATCGGCTGCAATCCAGATTAAACCAGCCCTCCCCCTCAGTCCAGAGTCAGGGAGGGCCCCTGTGTCTTAGGCTGGGACTTATTCAAACGCTGGGTGCCACCGAGAGACGGGGCCAAGAGCAAAACTAGACTCATCTTAATGGTAGTGTTACAATCCTTAACAGTTAAATTATTTTAGTTCCCCTTTCCCTGCTGTCCCATTCAAAATTGCCCTTCACAGCCAATGTCTTTCCGTGTTCCATCTGCGCAGAGATGCAGTTGTGCCTTTCAGAGCTAAAGAAATTCCCTGCACTAAAAGTTAGTGATGGAAAGGTTTCTTTTCTCTCTTTTTAAAATCTACTCAGAGTTAATTTTCACTCATCCTGAAATGCAACTGACAAGATTTTCTGCATCAGGTGCCATAAATGAACAACACGTTTTCTGTCATTGCTGGACAAAGACATTTGGCAGATGTTTGGAGAAAACCTTGGCTGTTGGCCAAACCCTCCTCCCCCCCCCGTGTTAATTCAATACCAGCTTACTATATATTAGAGTGACGTTCTTTCATTCTTTGGATTTGTAGCACGTTTGCCTAAAAAAGCTAGCCACTGCCATCCTCTGAAGCCCTCAGCTTTGAGAGTCAATGCAACCGCATTTCTTTCAGTCAATGCAGTGTGACTTTCTCCTCACAAGACTTTGGAAGAGCTAACAGTCATCCCTTGAAAAGATTGCACTGTGGCTTTCAAATATCTTTAAAATGTGAAGAATGGGATTTTTCTTCAAGAGTTCCTTCCAAAATGGCAAGGCAAATGGATGATATCCCTCCGTCTCTTGAATCCCTGAATGACTTAATACAAGTTCCCAACCTGCTGTTTCTCCTTAAGGGGCAACATTTTTTTTTAAAAAGCCATCTCTCTTTGGAAGTTGACCACCTACTGTGCCGTTTACTCTAAAGGGGGAGAAAACAGCCGTTCTGTTTTATTTCTAGCAACTAAATGTCGTAAATGTCACCATTTTCATAATTTATTATTTGTTCAAACGCCAGACTGCCAAGTAGTTTTAACTTGTCTTGCCCCACTTTTCTGTTGCTTAGATAGATTGGAGTTGTCCAGTCTGAATGGAAATAATCCATGTTCGTTTATGCTGGTTGAGATTTCCCTTGTGCTATTCCTGGTCAGCTGTCCACCCGGCATCTTCTTGAGCCTTGGGAGGTACAACCACCATTGGACTTCTTCATGAACTGTATCTATACATCCCTCCCTCCACCTTCCAGCCTCGGCTTCCTTCTCCCAATTGCTGGGTCAAGGCTGAAGACTGCAGCTGCTGCTTGTTGCTCACCTCTGGGCTACAACTTTTGCTATTCAGCTGGTCTTTCAAGAGCTGATCCCCATTTCCTGAAATGGAAGCACACACAAAAAAAGGCTTGGATGCAATTTGAGACCTAATCTGCTCCTTGATGGGAGGTTTTGTTTTTTTGGAAGGGGGTGGGGGGCTTGCATACGAATACCATTTGAAGGTGCAGACTGGTTCTTTTTTTCCCCTTCTCCTGGCCTGCTGTTTTTTTCAAGATGTTGACCACCGATCTGAATTCCTGAGGGGGAGGAAGGGGGATCCTTGTCCTAGCAGCATTGTTTCTGAGAGCTCGCCTCTTTTTTGGGTGATGTAGAATGATGAGCAGCAGCAGAACTATCAAGATGAGCCCACAGGAGGGGGGCAATCTTCACTGAATTTCATTCCTCCTGCTGGGACCCCTCTCCCATCAAGATTGGGATCTTCCCTCCCGACATTGCATGCTTTTCTTTTACCTTAAAGGTCCTTGTTATTCTTAAAGCATTCTTGCCCAATCAGCATTTGCCACTCAAGGGGACTCTGCAGTGCACACCTGCCTAGTTCCAATACTTCTGTATCGGGCGTTTTCAGCCTCAAACTTTAATACATGCGTTGGAAGTATATGTATTTTGAGGAATTTCAAATGAAACAGCCTTCCAACTTCCTTGCGCATAACAGTCCACAGACATCATCCCGGAATTTCTCCTATATGCTGATTGGAATCCGGGTTCATCTTTACAGGGGCAGTAACAAAACAATGGAAAGTTTCTGCTGAATGAATGAAAGCAACTTGGATGTTGTCGACTGCCAGGGTTAGCAAGGCGAAAGTAATAGCCAGCAAGAATAATTCCCAAAGACAATTCTGGCAACTGCTAAGAAGGGACCATTCATTGCAAGTTCTGGGTGCCACTCCTGCCTGTTTTAAAACTAGATTTTAAAGAAGCCAAAATAAGAATCGCTATGTTCAGCATATTTAGAGTAAGACCAAAATGTAAAATGACTTGCACTGTATCTCTTATATGATGTCCCTATTATTATTTTATAAGTAGCCTCAACTATTCGTAACAACTGGATTTTCATTGAGAAATTTAAAAAAAAAACCCAAAATTGACTCACGTCTCCACAATTTTAGTGGTTTAGACAGGTATGTCTTGTCAATGCAATGTCAGGTTTGTTTGTTTTTTAATTATTTAAACATCCGAGTAAAGAATAGCCACTAAACATAGCTCGGGTGCTAGAAATGTCCCCAGTATGACAATATTTGGGCAGACTTTCTCAGAAAATAAAGGGCTATGTGTTTGGTGGCATAGCCACTTTGGAAAACTTTTCCGGGGCTTGGTACTTGGTGAAGCATATCCAAAAATGTTCTGCACCTCTGATCATCAGAAACAAAGGGCAAAGAACTAAAATAATTTGCTGCTAGCCGCCTACATATCAAATAAAAATGCTAAGTGAATTTAAACTTAAACAAGTTATTCCATGTGTGTAAAGTGCCAGTGGTAGTACTGTGAGCTACTGTAATTAATCACTTTGGCCCTGTATTTTACTTCAAAACAAAAAAAGGAGTGTAAAAATGCTAACAAGAAACCACTCCAATTGGCCAGTGAACTTTAATAACCAGAATTGGATTTATGGTGTCCGGGTTTTCTTGAATTACTGTCCTGACAGATTTCCTGACAGGAGGCAGTCACCAGAGTGTGCTCACTAGATCTCTCGGCAATCTGATCTTGGGGGGCTTCAGTAGAATTGCAAGGTGATGCCCTTGGCTGACCAAGCAGGGCTGATGCTGTTATGTGCAGAATGCAGTGATCCCATC